TCAATAATTCAATGAGTCAATCATGCAATTGGTCAGTCCGTCAAGCATGAAATTTCTCACTAAGTTCGTCGTTAAATCAGTCAGTCAATCAGATAGTCATTCATTCATTCATTTATTCAGTCGTATATTCAACAAATTATTATGTCAATCATTTAATCAGTCCTTCATTCAATCAACCATTCATTCAATTAGTCAGTCCATAAGTCAGTCAGTTAATCATTCCGTTTGTTTGGTTTTCATTAGTCAGTCAATCTGTCAATTATTCATTAATACATTCCCTGACAATTAATGCATAAATTGATTGATTCATTGATTCTGCAAGTTCACTTTTTATAACTGATTCTTCGACTATACACAAACAGACGTACTGACACACTCTCAAACGCACATGCATACTCACACACCGGCATACACAAGCACTTCGGAGTAGAGACCGAAAATAGGAATGCTCACTACGAAGTGGTGATCGCGACTCGTCTCAGACGCAACATGAGGCCCGAACAGGCGTGTAATGCTGTCTCCAAGGCGACTGTTCAGTCCGTTACGGCTGCTCGATACAAAAGTCGACATGCACAGGCCGCGGGGCCAGAGCTGGAGTGAATTCGACGAGTAAGTTGGCCAAGTCCAGACGCGTCGAGATGAGGCTGGCGCGAGGATCCGAGGCGAAATGGAAGACTGGCTCGAGGCTGGCGACAGATCATTTGCGACTCGAGCCAGACGCCTGTTGCAGTTCTGCTAATCGGAGCCTCTTGACCCAATCAATTCCAGTGCTCACGAGCTGCCATGACCCATTTGTCTTCCTCAAACGACGGAGGACGCCCCGGTGACTGCGTCAAGCCTGGACGTCGTGTTCAAGTCAAACAGACTTGCAGAACAAAGATAATCAACTGTCACCGTCCGGTTGAAGTAAGCATGGAACAACGTCACCAAACTCACTCTCAAACAATTAAGAGCCTGAAGAGGAGGCCTAATTTGAGTGGCAACATCACGACAACACAGAAAATTCAACAGTCAGAATACAACAACAACACGAATTCTTAAGTATGAAATGTATTCACCCTATTTCGTTTAACCTCATGAAGGACTGTCAGTTGAATTTGCCCACAATACTTTCCCAAAAGGTGTTCTCAATCCGACCCAAGCTTCGACCTCGCCTCAACTGGTCTTGTCAACACCCCCAGCGGGACTCGAACTGTGGCGGTGCAGAGTGCCCTTGGCTCACAGAACAAATGTGAATTGCATTTTCACAAATCACATTATATGCAGGGATTGCTAACGAAGCAATGTTGTATTTGCTACAGCAATCTACTAACTACTTAGTTTTTAAAAGTATGAAGATCAAGATGGTGTGGCCTTTTGTGTGGTCACAGTCTCCTTTCGTTGCATACAGGTTGTTTGACCTATTTTTCTCAACTTGGTCATATTGGTAGAAAGATTTAGAGGAAAGCACGTAGTTCTGAGTCCACTGCATGCATGATCATTACCGAATTCGGACCGTGGACGTGGTACATTCACAGATGTTTCACCGGCATCGTAGTCGGTAAAAGTGTAATTGTGAAGGCATGATAGGATGCTACCGGAAACGCGAATAACCCAGGCTAGAAGGGGAGATACCACAATTGTTTATCACACGTTTGGTCTAAGGATCGGCTTCACTTGTCTCTTTTGACGAGTTGTTGTGTGGTGCTAAGAATGGCGATACTCACTGACG